GTGAGCCCAGGGCTGATTCCTGGGAGAGCCACAGACCAGACAGGCATCAGCAGCCCCAGAAAGACGCTTCTAGGGGAAGGAAGTGTGCCAAGGTCTGTGCATGCCAAATGGACGACACGGCCGTGAACGATTAAATAGACATCTCTGGGTAGGTCACTTCTCCTGTTTCCATGGCAACAGGGCTGTTTTAAGGAAAAATTTAGTTATAATGTAATTATAATTATAATTAAATTATGATCATGATTAAATTAAATTTTGATTAAAGCCATCCCACGCTGTCTTCACTCAAAGACCCAGCCTGACAGAGCAGCCTCTATATGGGACATTGCCAGTCTCATGGAAAAGGAAATAGACAAATGGCAAACATGAGCTGGCTCATAAAGCTTCTGCGTGGAAGTGCCAGATGTTACTTCCACCCATGTTTCATTGGTCATAGCAAAACATGTGGCCACTACTGCAGTCAACAGCGAGGTTCTAATTCTTCGACAGGTAAAGCACTGCAAGTCACCAAGCCGAGCTGGATGTCAATGGGAAGAGGACATTTAATCTTCCATTTGGAAGCATGCTAAATATTAAAAAATACTGCACCTCTATAAGCATGTTGCCTCTTTAAAGATATTGTCTCAGAATTATTTCTGTCAAGCCAGACATTGTGCCCTTAACATGTGCAGTTCATCCAGGCAGCCATTAGTCATTCATCAAGACAATAGAGCCCACCGTGTGCCAGACACTGGCCTGAGTGCTGGGCTTTTACAGTGAGATGAAGTATTGGTTCTTTCCTCTTGGGAACTTAGTGCATAATGGTAAAAAACAAATATTTACACTAAGCTATGATACATGCTATCATAGAGGTGTGTGCAGGGAGTTGTACTATGCAGATAAAAAAGGGAGGCTTCCTGTAAAGAAAAGGCAATTGGGTGAAGAACAGATGGGTAAGGGAGGAAGAATCAGGGAAGGCTTCACTGTGGAGGTGACATCTATCAGAGAAAGAAGGTGGCAAAGGGTATTCCAGAAAGACAAAACAGTATGTGCAAGGGCAACAGTATGTGATATGTGGTATGTTCAGAGACTGGACAGAAACTTGGTGGCTGAAGTGTGCAAGGGATGGGGGCGAGAGGTAATAGGAGATGAGGCTAGATGTAAGACACCATTAGCAGATGCTATAAATGCCATGGAAGGGAGTTTGGATTTTATCCTGTAGGCAGCAGGAGAGCTGTTGGACAGTTTTAATGGGAGAATTGCACGATCATGTCTGATTTTTAAGGAAGATTGTCACAGCAGACATGGATTGGAGGAAGAAGAGGAGCAATCATCATTTCATCTAAAATCCCCTCCAGGACAGTCTAGAATCTTTGCACAGAAGTTTTTTGAGATAATTAAGCCCCACTGGTGAATTAGAGCAAACAGGTTCAGCTTTGCAGTGAGCCAGCAGTGGTAGCTTTTGGCCAACAGCTACTGTTTGCTTAGAACAGCCCTGTTACCATGGTAATGGGAGAAGTGACCCACCCAGAGACGTGGATTTAAATATTCATGGCTGTGTCGTCCATTTGGCATGCACAGATCTTGGCACACTTCCTTCCCCTAGAAGAGTCTCTCTGGGGCTGCTGATGCCTGTCTGGTCTGTGGCTGTCCCAGGAATCAGCCCTGGACTGACATGGTAGTGGCTCCCCCATGGGAACCGAAGACAGACGCCTCAGTGGCTTGTGTTGAATATCTCTGCTTCCTAGTCACTGTCCCTTTCCCAAAGCACACCCACTCATTAATTCTCTCTCTACTTCTGGCACATCCTGCCCATCTTTGAAGACTCAGTTGAAGCCCTGCACCTTCGTTGGGCCGCTAGCCCTGACCAGTCTGACCTCCTTTGGTTCATTTTTTAGAGCACCTTTTAGAGCCACATACAATTACCTATTCCTCCTCTGAACTCTAAGCTTTTTCTCACCGGTTGTTTGGTACTTAATTTTTAAATCTATTCTGCCGTTTATGTGTTGTCTGACATCACCGACAGTTTCCTGGGTCAGCATCCTGTTTCCCCAGTCAGATTGTAAACTAGCAGGCATCATCTTTCTGCAAATGCCTTGCCCATGTTCTTCCCATTGCTGCCAGAGTAATCTTTAAAAGCTCAGGTCTGACCACTCAAGCCCTTGCTGAAACTCTTTAATGGGTCACTTTTGCCCTTGAGTGCTTACAAGTCTCCATGGCCTGGCTGCTGCCAACCCCTTCCACCACATCTCCCCCAGCACTTGATGCTCCAGCTGCACGCTCTTCTGTCTGCCTGGAATGAGCTGCCCTTGACTTCTCACCTGTATGATTCCAGTGTGTCTCATGGACATCCTGGAAAGACTTCCTGTCCCTCATAAGAAGGGGCTATGTGCCCCTCTCTGTATTTCCATGGCATTCTATACTTGCCTATTATGGCCCCATTAGATGTCTTAGGGGCAGGGACATTGTCTGGGTTAACATATTGTTTTTCCAGGGCCTAGCACAGTGCTTAGCACAGAGAACAACCAATAAATATTTGCTCCAAAAAATGAGTGACTGGTATGTGGACAATTAATGATTGTTACAGGAATGAAGTATAAGGTGGCTCCTTAATTTGGAGTGGAGAAGGGATTCCTCAGGTTTTTTTTTTTTTT